ACAGGAATTCATGGGAGAGCAGGGGAATATGAGTGAGATAATGGGAACACGTGTGAGAGCACAGGAACACATTAGGAGAGCATAGGAATTCCATGTGAGAGCATGGAAATGTAAGTGAGAGGATGGGAATTACATGGGAGAGCACGGGAATTACATGGGAGAGCATAGAATTACATGGGAGAGCACAGGGATACATGGGAGAGCATGGGAATTACATGGGAGAGCATGGGAATTACATGGGAGAACATAGGAATTCCATGAGAGAGTGTGGGAGCTCAGGAATTACACACAAGAGCACAGGAATTACATGGAAGAACATGGAATTATATGAGAGAGCGCAGGAATACATGGGAGAGCATGGGAATCACATGGGAGAACATGGAATTACATGGGAGAGCACGGGAATTACATGGGAGAGGACAGGAATTACACAAGAGCATGGAAATACATAGGAGAGCATGGGAATCACATGGGAGAACATGGAATTACATGGGAGAACATGGAATTACATGGGAGAGCACAGGAATTACATGGGAGAGGACAGGAATTACACAAGAACATGGAAATACATAGGAGAGCATGGGAATCACATGGGAGAACATAGAAATTCCACGTGAGAGTGTGAGAGCTCAGGAATTACACACGAGAGCACAGGAATTCATGGGAGAGCAGGGGAATATGAGTGAGATAATGGAACACATGAGAGAGCACAGGAACACATAGGAGAGCATAGGAATTCCATGTGAGAGCATGGAATTACATGGGAGAGCATGGGAATCACATGGGAGACCACAGGAATATGTGGGAGAGCATGGAATCACATGGGAGAGCATGGAATTACATGGGAGAGCATGGAAATACATAGGAGAGCATGGGAATTACATGGGAAAACATAGGAATTCCATGAGAGAGTGTGGGAGCTCAGGAATTACACACAAGAGCACAGGAATTACATGGAAGAACATGGAATTATATGAGAGAGCGCAGGAATACATGGGAGAGCATGGGAATCACATGGGAAAACATGGAATTACATGGGAGAGCACGGGAATTACATGGGAGAGGACAGGAATTACACAAGAGCATGGAAATACACAGGAGAGCATGGGAATCACATGGGAGAACATGGAATTACATGGGAGAACATGGAATTACATGGGAGAGCACAGGAATTACATGGGAGAGGACAGGAATTACACAAGAACATGGAAATACATAGGAGAGCATGGGAATCACATGGGAGAACATAGAAATTCCACGTGAGAGTGTGAGAGCTCAGGAATTACACACGAGAGCACAGGAATTCATGGGAGAGCAGGGGAATATGAGTAAGATAATGGGAACACACGTGAGAGCACAGGAACACATTAGGAGAGCATAGGAATTCCATGTGAGAGCATGGAAATGTAAGTGAGAGGATGGGAATTACATGGGAGAGGATGGGAATTACATGGGAGAGGATTTTGAGGGCACAGGAATACACAGGAGATCCTGGGAACGCTGCCTGGGGCTGGGGCCATTCCCAGTGCCATTCCCACTGGGATGAGACCAGTGCCTCTGGAGAGCCTTGGTCACTCTTCATGCCCAGAGCTGTGACACAACCCCAGCAAAAGTTTCCACGGGACGTTTGCCCTGAGCTGCAAACCCTGCGGGTTCGGGATGAATCCGCAGCATTTTGGGCCAAAACTATCCAAAATTTTTGGTTCAAAAACCCAGCCACCAGGACACCCCTGGGACACTCCCACCCCATGCCCAGCACCACTCACAGATGTAGTAGTACTCGTGGCCGGGTCGGAACTCGAAGCCCAGCGAGAAGGGCGTGAAGA